TACATACCTTGCATCTACTTCCACCTCCAACAGTCCTCTCTGTTTCCACAACTTCTACTTTACTGTTCACCAGTCCTAACTGCAAGCTAATCTAAATTTGCGAAAGTAGTACTAGGTACTATTCTAGAATATGCTCTTCAGTGTACATGAAGGAGAATGCATGTTAAATAAAACTGCACATGAAAAGCTAGTTATCTCAGTAAAGGGCTACTCTTAACCCATATTTATGACAAACTATCTTTCCACAAGTGGAAAAAGTTTGTGGGGTGAGAAACATACAATCCTTCAACTGCACTTTAAAGTAGAACAATCCAAATGGTATTTCTTTATGTTTGACGTTTGTCATTAGTTACTGTACAATCTTAAATACAAATTTTAAAGTAAGCAGTAAATTTAAAATTATGCTACTAACGAAACCTTCTAGATGCTATCATTGACCTAAGCTAGCAAGTCCCTAATAAAGTAGGTTTTCACAAAAGAGAAACACCATAATGGACATGGTGGTTTAGAGCAGGATGTAGGGATGGGCATGACCTGGCTCACAAACTAAAGGTCCTGACGAATTTTGGGCAGTTTGTGGTTCCCGAACTAAAGTTAAGAGAATATAAGAACATAAGAGAAGCCAATGTTGGATCAGGCCAATGGCCCATCTAGTCCAACACTGTCACACAGTGGCCAAAAATACCAGGTGCCATCAGGAGGTTCATCAGTGGGGCCAGAACACTAGAAGCCCTTCCACTGTTGCCCCACCCCCGAAGCACCAAGAATACAGTGCATCACCTGCCCCAGCCTGTGAGTTCCTATCTATACCTTGTGGCTAATAGGCACTGATGGACCTCTGCTCCATATGTTTATCCAGTTCCCTCTTGAAGCTGTCCATGCTTGTAGCCGCCGCCACCTCCTGTGGCAGATCAACCAGCACAAATTTTCAATGAACTTTTAAGCGGTTTGTGAATGGATACATTTCCAGATGCTCAATCAAAACATTTACCAAACTTCAAAGCAATGGGGGGGGGGGGATTCTCCAGCCTTGAAAACACTAATAGGGGCCCCTCCAAAGCTTAACATATATATATGCTCTGCATCCTCTCCTCTGTTGGGTGTTAGCAGTTAGACAGAGAGGTGGGGAACTTGTTAAACATAGAGCACTTCTCCCTTGGTGGGGTTTGGGTGTTCAGTGGACTGAGGGCTCTGAGCCACCTGTCTCTTTGCTCACGCTGAGCAAAGGGCTTAGCTACTGATTGCCTCGGCTGAGCACTCATATTTATACCACAGCCAGTTTGGTGTAGCGGTTAAGAGCGGCGGGCCATTCCTCCACATGCAGCTGCTGGATGACCTTGGGTCAGTCGCAGTTCTCTGAGAGCTGCTCTCTCAAGAGCAGTTCTCTCAGAGCTCTCTCAGACCCACCTTCCTCACAGGGTGTCTGTTGTGGGGAGAGGAAGGGAAGGAGATTGTAAAGTACTCTGAGACGCCGAGTGAAGGGCAGAGTATAAATCCAATCTCTTCTTCTTCATCCCACCCCCCTGCTTGTGAACACCTTTGTGTGCCATGAGGATGAAAGTGGGTGCAAAGGGTGCTTGTCGTGGGGGGAAGAAGTCCTCCATCTCCTGCATACCACAAGCCCCTGACCCCAGGCACCAAATCCATTCTGCCAGCCCACTCCAGTAAACCCGGCCCTAACAGGACATCAACAGGGGTCTTGGAGCTTCCTTCCCTGATCTGTTCCTGGCGCTCTCCAGTAAGGCAAAAGAGTTGTTACCGTAGCACTGCCCAGAGTTGCTAACACTCTTTGGAAAGGAGGACTCTGACAGCAGCTATTCAGAGGGTGGAGGCGGAAGCATCCTCCCCTTCCACATCCCAACTCCCTGTTGCTGCTCCTGCCTCAAATACCGAGCCCAGTGCCAGAAAGCAGCTGTGCCTCCTACCTTCTCTAATCCGGGGGCCCACACTTTGGAAACATTTCTACACCCTCCCTAGTGACCCCTGTATGGCAGAGTGCCAGATGTGCCACACTCATGACCAGAGGGGCACAACCCCCAACAGTTGTCTTCCAGTGTTGCTGCTGGAGAAAAGAGAGGCAGCCATCAGAGGAAGAGGCCCCACACATTGGGGGGATGCTTTCCTTTTTTCCGGTGTTGGGGGGGGGGGGGGGGGTATGACCAGGTGAAGTTTCCTTGTGAATTTGGTGTCACTCGCTTGTTCCTGAGCTGTTCCATAGGCTCCTGTAATTGCAGCTGTCTTTTCCAAAGAGAGCACTGGGGAGAACTTTTTGGGGGGTCTAACTGGGACCCTAGAAATATAATCTGCCCCCAACATGGAGAGATTGTAGAGAAGTGGGCGGCAGGGTGAGGTTCCCTGTGCGTTTGGTGTGTGTCGCTTCCGGGGGTCCATTCTATACACTTTTGAACCTGCGCCTGACATTTCCCCCAAAAACACTTTCCTGAGGTCATCTTCTCTGGGGGCGCCGTAACTCAGACCCCCTAAATCCAATCTGCACATAACTTACAAGGCATGTAGAGAAGCATCAGGGGAGGTCCCCTGTGAGCTTGGTGCCTCCAGCTTGCACAGGGTCCGTTCTAGACACTCCTGAACCTGCACCTGTCATTTCCCTAGAAAGCACTTTCCTGGGGGCATCTTTGGAGGGTCATAATTTGGACCCCGTAAATCCAATTCTCACCAAACTTGGAGGGCGGGTAGAGGACAGTCAGTCAGACATCCTCTGAATGTTTGGTGTCTCTAGCACACTGGGGGGGGGGCATTCTACTGCATCATGAACCTCACAAACCAAACCAGTTTATCTGGCGCCCAAAACTGGGCACACCATGAACTGAAATGAACCACATTTTCCTGGTTCATGCCCATCCCTAGTGGAATGTATTGCTTTGTAGAGTTTCCAGTCCTATATATCAGATCAACCTCAGTAGTAGTACTGAGAGATTTCAGCTCTGCCTCATGGTAACTATAACCTATACATACTGCAAGGGTCAGATTTGTCTTCAGTTTTTAACAGCTACAGCAGCTACTGGGGGCAATCCAACCAGCTTTCTGGAATGCACAGTCATCAATACGCTGACGACAGCACCCCCACCCCCAATCTGATACAGGTATCAGTTACTTATGCCAGTGTCAGGACTCTGTTATGGGTTTAATAAATCAGAATAGATTGAGGCTGGATCCAGGCAAGACAGAAGTTCTGATGTGTATATTTGCCTGAGAGCAGTGGACTTGCTTGTTCTACATAAGTTCATATTTATTATGAAGGATCAGGTTCACTGTCTGGGTACAGTATCAGCCCGTCTTGCTGCTTGATGCACTAGTGCCTACAGTGGTCATAATTTACCATCATTGGATAATAAGTCAGTTCCAATCCCTACCTTGCTACTATTATCCATGCTCCCATTTGGATTACTGTGGTGTGCTCTACACGGGGCTGCTCTTGAAGACAATTTGATAGCAGCAACAGAATCCTGCAGCCCTCCTTTCCATTTGGAGCAGACCACCGCGAAAAATCTCTCAAATGTGCCCTCTCTGTCTCCTGAGGTGGGCAGAGGAGGCTCTCTACCAGGACCCCTTCATTTTGGAGGTGAGTTTTGACAAGAACTTTGATGCACTGATTCTGTATCAATTTCTGTGTAATATTTTGCATAGTCTGAGTAGAACTACATTTCTTAAACACATTGTAATAAGTAATGAAGGTTTACATTATCAAAACACTATAATCAAAAGTTAAACTTATAAAATACCCTATGGGCAAAGCTTTACCACTAATGATTCACTATCATACCTCTTTACAATTCTTGGCAAAGTTAAATGCCTGGATTTGGCGATGAAACAGCTTCCAGATGGAGGATGGTTGCCAAGGTTTGGACAACAGTGGTCTGTAATGTGAGCACAGTGGCTTTTGTTGATACTGAGATGCTAGCTCTTCAATGTCTTTCGTTCTTTCTTCCCACTTTCTCTTTCTTTGTCCTAAAGCAATCAGCATATCAACATTTTGAGCTATTCAGAAAACTATTGAAATCAATATGATTTTTTTGAATTTCATCAAATTTCCATTTATAAATAACAAGTAGAGCTCATGAAAATTCAGAGACAAGTGTTGCAGGATGCAGCTTAGGAAACAGAAAAGGAAATGATTCTATTCTTGACTCTAGAGAGGCAGATAAAGTTGTGACTGGTTGTTTGTTGGCTTCCTCCAATCTGTTAAAGCCATAAGCAAATTTTGGCATTGGGACAGAGTGAACAAGAAGGTGAAAAACAAAGCACATTTAGGATTACTTGTCCCCATCAATCAGAAGTACTTCTCATTTTGTCACTGGCATCCTGCTTCTGACAGAACTTGAAGGGAACTGATAGTTGTTGTACATGCATGAAACAAGTCCCATGACAGAGGTATATTCTAGAGGACATGCACTTTAGGGCCACCCCATTTTTAACCAGGGTAATGACATCTGAATGCAAAACATTTACCTTGAAAAAGGTGCATGTATCACTGTTTTCCCTTTAAAATGCACATAAACAACACTTGTCGCCTCATGGAAGAAAAAGTCATAATTGTATATACAGATGTGTTAAAAATTAGTGCTGTACTTGGTACTTCTCACTCTCAGTGCTGAAATAACATATTTTAATATTAAGCCACTACATCCTTCATTGCACAGTGTCTATCACCAAATCAGTGCTAAATGCACCATCAGCATATAATCATAATATAAGGGCATCACTCCAAAAGCTGCAGACAAATATACTGGCATAAGTATTTAGAAGCATTTCCCTCCAAAGCATCCATCCACCCAGTATCTAAATTCTCAACAAATAATTCCCGCCTAGGTTTGAGAAGCATATATCTAATTCTGATCCCAGCCCCCATACAGAACAAACACTCAGCAGGGGAGACCAAATACAGTCTCCAGGGTTGCAGAAAAATACAAAAAATATGTTTAAAAAATGATGTTTTAGTAAAAAGACTAAGATTTCATGACATTATGTCACAAGGTCTTGGCTGCCATTTTGAGGGAGCTGAACGGGGGAGGAATGGAAACTGCCATCTCCACATGAACCAGGCAGGTGGTCCTGCAGGTGGACAGAGAGAAGCAGGAACTGCTGCTGAGCACGGGTAGGGGTGGGGTATGGGATCCCCCCACCTATGAGTCTCATGTGTCCACCACCGGTACAAACATATTTTCCTTATTGCACGCCAATAAAGGTAACTGGATTGATTGATATTTGATATTTTCCTTATGACAATCTGTATCTGCTGGGATTTGTTTCCAATACTACTTATCAGTAACTCTATGTTTGCTGTAAACATTTGCAAAGTGAACTTACCGGTGCTCATGAAAGGCACTAGACAGAGAAGTAGTCATTAACATTCATTAGACTCCTGATTAGATACAGCAAATATGGAAAAGAAAAAAATATCTGTAATTAAAGATATAAAACACTGTATTAATACAACGTAGACAACTTTTAATTGACTTTTATCCACAGAAATTCCTTAACCTTAATATACCTTTTTAGTTAATGATAGCACCTAAATGAAGTGACATTGTGTTTTTCATCCTGTGGGCCCCAACCCAGAAGCAGGTCAAAAAGCCTGTGAACATGGATCCAAGGCTTTTTCAGTTCTATTAATTTGTGCAAGCAATTTTTTTAGGTAGATCACCATATCAAGTAAATTTGGATTTGTGCATCACCAAACCAAAATGGTTAGAAACCACTGAAATAATAAATAAGATGCCCAGTATTTGTACTGCTCAAACTTTTGCTTTTATTGTTCCTCTAACAGGCATTTTTACTTTTATCAGCTATTAATATTTTTCACAAAGAACAAGCGCTCCATCTTGTAGAACACTGCAAATATTGGCAGAAAGATGGGGACATATGCTTCAATTGGCTTAACAGGGTGCAGTTTAAGTCAAAGAGAGCGTATTTTGGTCAGCATGACAGCAAGGTAATGTCCCACATTTGATTTTTTGGACATTATTTTGGGTTTGCTGTGTTTCAGCAGGGGTAGGCAACCCCATAAACAAATGCCAACAACAACCCACCAGACTATTTTGCTTGGCACTCAGGGCCAGATCTCTACCCAAGCAGCCAAGGCACTGGTAGCACTACTGTGGCCAGCAGGGCAGGAGTAGGCAACCAACATGGCTTATACCAGGGGTGGCCAAACTTCCTTAACGTGAGAGCCACACAGAATAAACATCAGATGTTTGAGAGCCACAAGACATGAGCAAATATAACCCACCAATTTTTATTGAAAAATATGCAAATTTGCTTTTTATTAACATTAAATAAGACTGCCAAAAGTAAAAACAAAAGTAGTAAGAACAGATATTGATAATGATAGTTAACTTTAAATGGGGAGGGAGGGGAGAAAGAGAGAGATAAAGAAAGGTGGAAAGGAAAAAAGTGGAAAGAAAGCAAATAGAAGGCGGGAGGGAGGAAGAGGTGGAAATAAGGCAACTTTAACTTTAAATGCATCTTCCAAGACCCCCACGCCAGCTGGATTGGCTTGGAGAAGGGTTTTAAAGAGACAAATGCTTTCTCCAAGTTGGCTGGTGGGGAGCGGAGTCTTTAAGAAGACATTTAGAGTTGCTTTCTTTCTCTGCTCCCCCCCATCTCAAGCCTATCTAGGGAGGGGAACACTGGCTGGGGAAGGGAAGACCCATTGGGAAGGCATGTCTCCCTTTCGCTTTCCCAGCCGCCCTGCAGAGAGCCACATGTGGCTCCCAAGCCACAGTTTGGCCACCCCTGGCTTATACCATTATCGCCTCCTAGACCACCACAGCCGCCAGATGATTCCACCCTCACCCTCCAGCATGCCTATACAAACCCTAAGCACACAAACACTGTGTTGGATCCAAATTAAACTTTCTGCTAATGGAAGGCACTTCTGTCAGCACAATAGAACTTGCCATTTCTTACTGTGGTGCTTTGATTTCCCCGAAATGTTGCTCTTGGAGGTTGGGATCTTCCAGGATGGCTTCAGAGGCAAACTGGGGATCTGCAGCAGGATGAGATAATTAGCAGAAATTACCTTCCCTTTCTGTTGGCAAAAAATTTATTCTAGATCCAGTGAGTGTCAGAAACTATCAACAAGAGGTGTACTAAGGAAAAGGAGGTATATGCTATGTGCACTCTGAGACACTGCAACTCATTCTCTAGGGAAGGACATTCCACTTATCTTTTCTACAATTCCAAGTACTAATTTTATCCACAGTTCCTTGTTAATTGAAACTTTAACTGATGGCAGAAGAGGTGACATGCAGCAGGTATATTCTCCAAAAGCAGCAGAAAAAACAACCAGGCCTCCCTGGAAAATCTCTCACCTAAGAGACAAAAGCCAGTGATACCTTTTATTAAGACTGACCAAAATAGTGCAAGCTTTCATGGTCTTCAGAATTCTTAATCTTGCTGGATCTCAAGAAACAAAAGGGGAGGGGAAGAGGGAAGGATCTTTCTTCATATTATCTTAAGGCTTTTTTGTCTTTGTTTCTTTTCTCCCTTCCTTACCCCCACCACCCTGATGAAGAGTCCAAAGAAATATACAAGCTTACATACCATGTTGTGGGGCTTCTACTTATCTTTTAAAAATTATTACATGGCTTTTGTTTTTCCCCTTTTGTTACAGTCCACAGGCAATGTTCCCTCTAAGCTGTGGAGTCTTGTGAGCAAAAATTCTACTTTGTGAGCTACTGGCATTAAAGTTGTGAGCAAGTGATTTGGCTACTGTATGAATTAGTTTGCTCTAGAGCCCTCCTTCCTGAGCTAAGACAAAAATGTGTGAGCTGGAGGCTAAAAAACTGAGCTAGCTCACACTAACTCAGCTTAGAGGGAACACTGTCCACAGGCTACCCACATTGTTCATAGCATACCCACTCATCAGAAGCAGGTCTTAGATGCCTACTGCCACCTAAAATGTGTCAAGATTGTCCTTCAGCACAAGGACGCTTCTGAGCAGGGACTAGTACATCTCATGATCTTACTTTTAAAACGTCCCCAGAAAAAAAATTAAGTTGGCTAGGGTTGCCAGCAACACTCCATCTAAGCTGTGGAGTCTTGTGAGCAAAAAATTCTACTTTGTGAGCTACTGGCATTAAAGTTCTGAGCGAGGGATTTGGCTAATACATAAATTAGTTTGCTCTGGAGCCATCCTTCCTGAGCTAAGACAAAAATTTATTTATTTATTTATTTATTTAATTCAATTTATACCCCGCCCTCCCCGCAATGCAGGCTCAGGGCGGCTTACATAGGGGCAAACGCCAATATAAAACATAATTAAAACCATTTAAAATCCAACAGTACAAAACATTCAAATATGTGAGCTGGAAGCTAAAAAACTTTTGTCTTTTCTAGATTGAAAGTCATTTTGTTACTTTAGGAACATAAAATATGACTATGGACATTTTTACTTGTCATGAAATTATCACAACTAGCATATTAAAAATAGAGTGTATCCAAAGAATTATTACAAACAGAATACCCACCCACATGCAAAAACAAAACTGAAACCTTTTTTATTTTCTTCTGACAATAGCACCTCCTAAAGGAAGAAATGCATCTTGTTCTTGCATTGGAGAGTTCAGTTTGTAACCTAGGACTTGCTTGTTCTCAGTGCACAGAAATTAGATTAATCTGATA